AATAGAAGTAGAATGACTGTGGCAAAAGAAAGCAAAGATAGTACCAATAGCAATAGGCACCCTGGGCGCAATCCCAAAATATCTGGAGCACCACTTGAACACCATCAGCACTGACAAAATCACCATCAGTCAATTGCAAAAGACAGCTTTACCTGGAACAGCTTACATCCTGTAACGATACCTTTAACACCATCAAACCACAACATCTGCCTAACCCAGGTCCTTGGGAAGGACTCGGTAGGTGGTTAAAAAGCCAAATCCAGTCTAAACAACTGGATGACTGCGCGACCAACAATAATATATTAAATGTATATGCTGCCCAATTACCAGTGATTTTAAGTTTGGAAGCCAGCTGTATGACTTTGAGCCAGTCCTTCCTTCCTTCCTTCCTTCCTTCCTTCCTTCCTTCCTTCCTTCCTTCCTTCCTTCCTCTCCCTCTCTCTGTCTCTCTTCCTCCCTCCTTCCCTCCAGAAGAAGGCAATACCAAACCACTTCTGAAAATGTTGCCAAGAAAATTGCATGGACTTGTCTTGTGTTTGCCAGGAGTAAAGACTGACTCGGGCACGCACACATACATACACTTATCCCAAGTTCTGCACCCATATCTGGTAGACCTACACAGGATTCAAGAGTCAATATTTTACCAAAGTGATACATTAAGGAAAGCTCAATAAGAAGTAAATGTAAAAAACTATTAGTAAATTGTCCAAAGAGGTTATTTGGTGTAGTGGTTAAGCCATCAGGCTTGCAGCCAGGAGACTGTGAGTTCTAGCCCCACCTTAGCCATGAAGCCAGCTGGGGGACCTTGGGCCAGTCACTCTCTCTCAGCCCTAGGAAGGAGGCAATGCCAACCCACTTCCAAAAAACCTTGCCAAGAAAGCGGCAGGGACTAGTCCAGGCAGTCACCAGGAGTCAACACTGACTTGAAGGAACAAACAAGCAAAAGTTTTGGAGTAAAGGCATTTATTCATATTTTGTGTATTTCACTCCTGTATTCCTTGCATGTTTTGAGAACAATTGTATGAGAAGAAAAATGTAAGTATCCAGTTTGGCCTTCTCAATTATTTCTACTAATATTTGCTTAATGGTGGACCTCCATTAAACTTACCATATGAGATGATGCAAATTGGGTTGGTTTTGATTTGATCGAGGTAGAAGAAGTCACCTGAAGAGGCAGTGAAATAAAATTTCCTCCAATAAGCCTTTTGTAATACTTTGTCTGTGGCTTAACAGAGCCTCTTAGTATTGTATAGAATCCTTGGCTTGCATCCACTGGAATTAAAATTAAAATTGAATTAGCAACAGATCATCATTTCACAACCAATTACAGAAAATGAACTAATATGTCTACAGTATATGGAATTATAACAAACCTACATGTGTAATCAAGCCAACATATTTTCATGAAAATATATTGGGAACATTTGATTTTCCTCTTTAGCTTCCACAGAAAGAATGTAGATGATTGATTGATGACACCCATGTTTAAATTAAGCATACATACTCCTATGACCTATAAGATGGTAAATCAACTGATCCTACATTACCAGTGACCACCAAAACACCTGTAGTTCATCTGATAAATGTTATAGCCTGTCAAATATTTAGCAATGAATCCTCTTTTTATAATGCCAAGAAAACAGTGAAACATGAAGTTGTTCAATGTATAGATGGCTGTTTGCTGATTTTCAACTTGTGTGTTTGCAACCAGCAAATAATGTACAGTATATATGTGTAGAACTGGAGTCTCTATGAAGAGACTATTATGCCCCGGTAATTCCCCTGGTGTCTTCTACATTCCCAGCCCATCTGACATTTCACTTCTTAAAATAAAACCTTTTAATTAAAAACAAAATGGGAAACTGGCAAAGTGATGGTTTCTAGCACCGGCTTTATTTCCAACAATCTTCTGAACCTACACAAAAGCCCCTAAACTTTTGTTCTCTTTTTTTTTTAAGGAAATAAACTTATTGGAAGGATGCAGCTAGTGCTCTGTGGGACCACAGAGAAATGTCAAAGAGAAGCAAAGAGAGGAGGGAATGTATTCTGAAGTCAGGGCTTTGCTATTCTATGGCAGCTATTTTGTGAATAGTGACTCCCAGTAGACATTTTGCAAATGGGCCTAAAATGTATTCTCAACTTTCCAACTGTGCCCACTAGCCCCCAAAGTTCTAAAAGAATACTTTTCCCATGCATCTTCATGGTGAAAACTCTGGCTTCATTTTGACAAGGATAAATGGCCTCAGGGGATGGGAATCACCTAGCGATTCTCAACAACTTCTCCCCTTTTTTCTACAGGTTTTTCAGACTTCAAGATGTAGCAGCACAGCAGTGACATTAGTTGACACCATTCCTCCTTCCCAGAAGCATTTTGCACGTGGCAGAACTGTAAAACCTCTCTATCCAAATTCATTCTTAACTTCCTCAAAATGTTGTGCCTCTACCCTTTCATTTAGTTTTGACCAGGCCCAACCCCATCCCCAAAAATGACCAAGCCATGAGGCAAAACAGGTCCACTGTTACTATACATGGACTTTTCATAGTTGAGCACATATCATCTCCAATTTATATAATAGAATGTAGGGAAAAGGTCTTGAATATCATCTACTCCAACACCCATAGAGCATAGAGGACCATTTTCTGCCCTTCAGACTTCCATATATCTGGAGGAGGGGGGAGTGTTGAACTAGTAAATAAGTTTTTTTAGGCATATCTCCAATGCAATTTAGAACTAATGCCAATTATGGAACAACATTTTGCAGATATTTTCAATCTGTTTTCAGAGAGATTCAGACAGCATCAAACTAAGAACAATCAATGCTTAAAATCTCACACAACAATAGTCAAAACTACTATTAAAGTCAGCCCAAGCTGAAAAGAATCATTGAAGAGGAAGGCCTTTTTACAAGCAGAAAAAGTGGGAGCTGAGCGCTACTCCCAAGGAAGTACATTCTGTACATTGGAAGCTGGGGTGACTGCAGAGTAGTCAAAAAAGTCAAGATGGGAGCATCCCAAGCTCAGCCTATTTTTACATGCTTCACTCTCCTTAGTGTGCCAGACAAATGGATCTCAGAAGGGCCCTCACAAATTTTATATACAAGTATTTCAAAGCATACAAACCAAGTGGTCATTATTTTATTTAAAGAGGTGGGTCCTCTGTTTACAAACTGTTAGAGGACATTCTCCATTTGAAGAAGTTGGTTTGATTGGCCATCTGTTTTACATCCAACTGACCACCAATGGTACAGACTGAATAGACACACAACCTTCTCCGCTGTGGTAAATTATATTGCCTTTTACTTAAATTATTATACTTATGTATAATTTTTCTCTACGCATATCAATTAGTACCTGCAAATTTTACACAAATCTCAATTGTCTCATTTCCTTTTGCTTGGTGCTGCTTGTCCATTTTTCTGGTATCAGAAAATATCAGTGGTTACTTTAAACACACCAAGCAGAACAGTGCCCCAGGCTCCGTGCTACTATTATATTCATCTGCATTTAGGTAGTTTGTCCTTTCACAAGTGTGAAAGGTTCATCTTGAACTCTTCATAACAAAGATACACAGAAGTGCTTATATTTGCTGTCATCGTTAAAGCAGTGGAAATCTTAAGAGTAACAAGAGAAAGTGTCAGTAATAAAATCAGCAATGTTAAAATGATATTCTTAATCCCATCCATGTAAGAGACTTTTAGAGAGCCAGTTTGGTGTGGTGGTTAAGGCAACAAGCTAGAAACCAAGAGACCATGAGTTCTAGTCTCGCTTTAGGCACAAAGCCAGCCGGGTGACCTTGAGCCAGTCCCTCTCTCTCAGCCCTATGAAGGAGGCAATGGCAAACCACTCCCAAAAAACCTTGCCAAGAAAACTGGAGGGACTTGTCCAGGCAGTCACCAGGCATCAAGACTGACTCAAAGGCACACATGCACACACACACACTGAGGTTCAGCAGTGACATTATGGATGTCTGCCGGGGGCGTAGGAGGAAAGGGCAAGGAAAGCAAGTGATAAAACATGCCATCTTGACACAAATACTGTGACTTATGCATCTGTATCAGATGTTGGTATGCAAGTACCTAAGAGCTGGTTTTGGGTCATGACATCACCATGTACATGTTGTCATGTATGCCTTATTGTGACTTGCTGCATGACATTAGACCTGCCAAACATCTGGTTGTTTGATATGAGGGTACATTTTGATTTATTGTATGTAAAGTCTTTGGTGTGATTTGCAATACAAAAATTTTTTAAAACATGAAGCTGTTCTTATTGTGAAGTTATGTGAGGAAGGAATTAAAATGAAAACCCTTAATAGAAGCAACCTATCACTACTTTTCATATCTTTATTCCTCCTGAATTTCTTCTGTAAAATGATCTTGGGAGATTAAAGACTCATCAGGCATGTATTATTTTTGTAAAGTCAGTTTCACTTAGGAAAAAGTCAATCTTGTGTTTATTTTTAGCCTGCCAAATCAGATGAGATTGAAATATTGCTTAACCAGGTTCAAAGAACTGGAAAAGATTGCACATTGATGCAGAGTTGCTTTTTCTTTAAAAGCATAATGTGGCAGTCTGAATCATTAAGATTACCTTTTATCTCGTGTGCACATTGATGCTCAGCAATTTTAGATCTCATTCTGTGCCACCATATTGCAGTTTTTCCTGAATATATTAAATCAATAGAGCATCTAATCCAACACAACTGACCTGGTGGCCAAGGCAGTAAAGGAGACTTGGATAAAGTTGTTTTGTTTTCCAAATAAGATGGCAGTTTTCATCCCAATCACAAGCTTTGACCTTCAAATTGTCCTTTTCATTGCTTTAACATAATTTATGCTAATGTAATTCCTGTCTGCTTAGATTACAGTTTAGTCTGTCTATTAATAGCATGTCCTTCAGTTACTATATTCTTTTTAGTTGGCTTGTTTCTGTATTGTAAAGGATCAGCACAATAGTAACTCTTACCAATGAACACATTCGATTGATTCAGATAATGATGTTATTGGTTGAATCTTTGCTTCCCAATTTTTGGTAACTCAGAGAAGACTGAATTTTTTCAATAAAAATCCTAGTTGGAACTCTAGAGTTCATCGAAACTAGGATAATAATTCTGAATGGCTTTTTGGTGGCCTGAAAAAAATGAACATTGAGATTAACTTTTATAATGTGTAGATGTAAAGAAAAGCATGGAGTAGGTTCACTTTACTTTTCTACACCAATCTGAATTCAGTCTGGAAGGAGGAAGGTTGGATGAAATTCCCCTTCTCTGAATATAATCACTCACTATTGTTACCACTACCCACTCATGAGCTTCATTCTTTTGATCCAACCACTGCCATCTCCAAGAGAAGGAAACAGAGAGAGAGAACCAACCAGCCAAGATTAAGGATCTCTTCTACTTTTTCTCACACCAAAGGTAGTCACTTGTTTGAGCAGTTGCTTTGGGGAAGCTGTGAGGATATACAACCCAGCCCCCTTTGTTTGTGTGTATACAGCACATCATGCTTCTTCCTTCTTTCTCCAGAGGATGAGTGTGACTTATACGAAGGTACCTCTGTGTGGGAACTAGGATTTCCTAAGGCTTTGGGGAGGTGCCAAGTTCAGCACTGCTCTGATGAATTAGAAAGACAGATTGTCATCTGCTCCTAAAAATCTGGTTGGACCCTTCAAAGATTTGTTGAAACTAATTTGTGAGGCATTTTGAAAATAACAGTACTTGTCTTCATGGCAACTAAATCCTGCTTTTCAGATATATACCAGAACACTTTTTAATCTGGTGTCCAGTCTTCAATGAAACATAATTGGCCATCGTTATCTTGTTATCTGACCTCCTGCAGGAGACAGGGGGAGTATGAATCTATGGATCCTGCCCAATTTTTTGGCAGCTTTGATATCATCAACCCTAGCATACTCCAGAATTGTCCTTGTGAGTCAGGGGTTGAAGTAAATATATTTTAGTGGTTCTACTGCTATTTGCCGGTTTGGTCTTATATTGGTGACGATGCCTTTGGACCCTGACAGTATGTTTTAGGGTTTCACAGGGAATTACTTTGTCTCTAGAGCTTTAAAACTTCTACGTTATATAAGGCCACTGTGGGTGGTTAACAAATGTTCTGGGTGTACCTGGGAATATATTTGACATCTAAGAATGCTGGTTTATTTCAGAATAATTATGTTCCACTCTGGACAGA